AAACCTACTGCTACTTCCGCCATCGGCCTCGCTGGTCCTGGTAGGTACATGATCTATTTCCCATGTATGCTAATGCTAATATCAGATCAGCTGCTGAGAAAATGAATTTGCAGGGGGTGCCGATGTTTTGCCTTATGTCGAGGCTGATTTGAGGAAGATCTCTTCAAGGATTGCCGAAAAAGCTAAGAAGATTTGTTCTGCTAAATCGGTATACTTAAACTGTTTGATACATATTCTTTTTCATAACAGAAGAAATACTTATGCTGCTCAGCTGATTAGCGATCTCCAATCTTATCACTTCTCTTTGATTGCAATGAATCGTCTTTAATACTAGCAGCTAGTTGTTTTCAGGTAAACGATGTTGTAGTTGAGATTGTGGAAGGTGATGCTAGGAGTGTCTTGTGTGATGCTGTAGAGAAGCATCATGCCTCTATGTTAGTTGTTGGTAGTCATGGTTATGGAGTTCTGAAGAGGTAAATTTCTGTATCTACTTGCACAAATTTCTATCTTGCTTGGCATAGAAACATTTATCTTCACCTCAAGATTGAAAAGCTCGGTGCTTAACACAAGTTACTGTGCTCAAATTACAGACCTAATTCCAGCTAATCAATTACTTTGTGGTCGATCTTTTATATCCATTACATTTTTATTTAAAATTACAAGGTCTTGAAATCTTGCACTTAGTTCTGCATAGGCATACAAGTCTCAAACTTGTTCTGAGACAAATTTCCTGGTTATAATTGATAATGCACTTTTTTCCTGCAGGACTGTTTTGGGCAGTGTAAGTGACTACTGTGCTCACCACGCCCACTGCAGTGTGATGATTGTGAAGCGCCCAAAGATCAAGGCTTGAGATTCTTCTTGTCTGAACAAGTTGTAGAGTTTATTACTACTTTGTCATCTATTGCTCCTAGTGGAGAACCATTTGGTTGATGGTGTGTATTTATCCAATATATATATATATATCTTCCAATGTAAAAGTTCTGCTGTGTAAACATTATTGTGGATAAATTTCAGAGTGTGTATAATAATAAATCATGATTGATAATGGACCTTGGCAGCCATACATGTTGAGGTTGAGAAGAAGAAGATACTTTACAGTAGATTTGGAAATTTTGACAAGTCTATACATAAAATTTTGAGAAGACACCTTGTGTGAAGCAATTACAGTAAGTATCATCAGGCACGTACATACGTGGGCATTTTAATTAGGAAAGGAAGTGGATTGTTATGATCAAAAGTTTGGTGATCTAACAAAACATATTAGCTTAGGCCTTAGGGTACCGTTTACCGTCTCAAAAGAAAAATAGTAAACCAGAAACAAAAAGCTCCTGAGTAGCAAGTTATGTCTTTAACTTTGCGAAATGGTCTAATTTTGTTAGCAGATGGATGGATGGATCATATCTATCTTTGTCGTTGTCATAAGCCAAATAGAAACTTTTCAAAGAATAAAATTATTTTTCGAGATTGATTATTCAAAAACATTGGAGTTAAATAAAATTTGGAATAACGAGTAGTATATTTCACTATTTAAAAATGCAGATTAGTAGTGTTATTTTCAAGGGATTTCTTCATTAGAGAGAATATGTTGGTGGCCATGAAATCTAATTTGAGAGCCTCTTCATGTAACTCCAAGTTGTTCTACTTGCAATTCCTTCCTTTTCTCTGTTAACTATTTTTTCTCTTCATGCGCATAGAATTACAGCATGCATATTTAAGTTTATCCGTAATCACAACACTAGAGAACAAATAGTATGAGAGACGAATTGTTAGTCTCATGTCAGCAAAACTTAGCTAAAGAAATAAGACAATCATTCAAGCAATTGAGATGAAGATGAAAAATTACCCAAATTAGGAGTACAAGTTTTTAAAAGAGATTCCACAATATCTAGAATTTACTCCCAACAACGCAACTATAGTTCAAAAGCAGGTAGATCAACCAACCTATAATCAACACCAAGCAACAGTGCCCTAGAGGATACCTATAGAAAACAAAAAAGGCAACAAATATATACTTGCTTCGTAATTCATATGTTAGGTTTATTTCCCTAACACATAAACTAATGGCCTGCGAAATCAACATCATAAATCTTGTATGAACTTCAATTAACTGAATTATGTTTCCCATTCGGTGAAGGATGCTGCTATGCCACGCTCCTTAGTCAACATGATATACTTAGTCTTCCACAGACTGCTACGGATGGAGAAAAGTTTCCAATTTTCTACTGCAGACTATTTTAGTTCCTTTTCAACAAATTAGAGTCAAAGTTTATCGGGAGTCCTCAGCAACATGACATAAGAGACACACGAGACCTGTTGCTCCAGCAACCTGCTTCCAGTTCCTGGTACCTGCACCAAAAGCAGCCCCTGCTACAACACCAGCAGTCAAAACATTAACCTGCAAAAGTAAAAGGGATCTTATAACTTTTGTGGATAGTAATAACCGTGGCTTACAACTCAAGTAGTTTTAAAGTGAAAAAGGTACTAGGAGAAAAGCTTATAAACATTGCGTCGTCCAAGCAAATGTAGATTTTTTATTGGATCAGTGCATGTCAATTAGTCTTTAGTTAGCACTCCCAGAAGAATATGTTATTTTCATGATTTCTGTTTATATTAAAAGTTAGTTTCATCTGGCAAAGAAGGTTTATTTCTGCTGTTCTTACATTGGCTGGCTGCAAAAACATTACCTCCAATTGGTCACTTATATAGAAAAAAGTTCAGAGATCATAATATCTTGCACACCCATATAAAGTACTAAGATATCACTTTATTGTATCAGTTAACCACAGTACTTCTTCACATACATCTAAGTGAGCTCGGGTTGTTCCCGATGACTGTCCAATGCATTTCCTGCAATTTTTGCTATTACATTTGGACACATCTACGAATTTCTGCAAATTATTACTTAACATGTTGTCATATTGGCTTCCTAACGCGAAGAAACAGTAACTAATAACTGTAGTCTCTCAAAATCTGTACTACACATTGAAAAAAGAATTAAAAGGAAATTATTCCAATTTCATATATATTGCATGAAACTATAATCTGACAATGGAGGAGAACATACATTCCTACTTTCCCATTGAAATGCATAAAGTAGACCTCGTGGTGCTAATTAATTATGCCTACCAACTGTTTAGCCCCAACAAACAACTTGATATGGTAAATAGCAAATATGCAAAAAGTAGTGGAAGCAACATTTGTATATACATTCTCTTAGTTAAACAATAACGTGTTTTACATGTTTAGACAAAGGAGGGTCCAAATTAATGTTGGAGATCTGAGAGGGCACGTGTTAACAAACTGACCCAATCATTTCGCCTTCTATATCTCTGAAACCCACACCGAGTGGAAGAAAATATAGCAGCAAACATTCCTATAAAAGAAGAATGGATGCTCATCAGATCATAATGATCTATCTAAACAACCATGACATTATCCAAGAGAAAAATTAGTCAAAAGAGCAAAAATAAATAAACATTGAGGGTTGGTGAAAACACTAGAAAAAAAAAATAGTTGGACACAACCAAGTCTGACTATGAGCATTTGATATGCCTTTGCAATAAAACAAGTTTAATTTTACATAACATTATAACAATAAGCATAGAGAAACTGTGATAGTACGTTCTAAACAAACTTTGATGAAAGTAGCCTAGTGTTGCATAGTCTTTGACTGTAATCCTGCTCATTATCTTTATTACATTCCTTATTAAGCTGTTTTGTACCATCACACAGGTACAGATAACTAGCAATTTGACTTTTAACATTTCCACTCCTTAGTTATATAAACTAGCTTACTTCTCCATGGCTTATTAGGTTATGGTTCACATTGTGTGGTGCATTCAGATATGGATGTTATTATGATACATCATAAATACAGCTTTTAATCTTAACCACTGGTCAATGATTAAATTGAAAAGGTTGCATCTAAGCCTAACCACAAGTAATAGGGCTCCAACCTAAGTTGCACGGACTCTTCACTTTCATTGCCGCATCCGTGCAGGATTCTCCAAAATTACACTACTTTTGGAGAACAACACACACCCGCTAACATTTTTGAAGAGTTCGAGCAACATAGGCTCCAACTAACAAATAATTGACTTAATATCACACATCAGAATGTGGTCCAACAAAAACACAATGCTATACAGATTGGTATATATAGCAGTGTAATAGCATGCCATTTATCTTATTTTAGTAGTATGATTAATCAGTTGTAGCAGATTATTTGATAGATCATCAAAATTCATGCTTAATATAAACACTACTGCAATTGGCACCACTGTTCTTTACATGTATATAACTTAAATCTAGATTAATATAGAGGGAGACAAGTTAAGGGAGTGGGAAAATACTTGGTTAAGTCAAAATTAGATTGGGAAAGTTAATGTGATTACCCCACTGAAAGCCAAGCCGACCAACTGACTTAGCCTGCATATAGAGTAAAAGCACACAAAACAATCAAATTAAACCAAAGAGAAAAGAAAAAAAAGACATTGGAAAGGGATTGCAATGAGCAACTTACAATAAAAGAAGCTCTATGAATGCCAGCAAGACCTGTTCGCATATCAGAATAATAAACAGATACAAAATTTTGATCTTTCTATCAACAGTTGCGAACTCTACATAAAAAAAAAAGAAGAAAAAAAAGTAGTACCTAATTTGCTGGCGTCGTAAGGACCAGAACAGGAGCCCCAGATTAAGCCAGCCTGCAGTAATAACAAGTTTAAGAACAATTGGATTTCATAGAGAGAAGAGGAGTATGAGGAGTAGATTACGGTGCCCATGCGAATAACGGAATCGACGGCGATGGAAGAACAGGGGACGTCGTCGGCGATATCCACCTCCATCTCCCTTTCAGCCTTGAGGTGACCTTCATGTAACACTAACACCAATCTGCTGGGCCTTTCAGAGGCCTCTTTACTATAAACGGAAATTTTAAGTAACATGGAAAAATTACCAAAGTATACCCCATTAGTTAGGTATTCTTAATATTTCCCTACCATTTTAAAATAATACGAAAATCCCTTCTTTTCACTCAAAATCCAACTGCCGTCTGCCAGATACATTATTTCATTTCCACTCCAAATTTACGTTTCTAACTCCTATATTTACTCCTTCAATTTCTCTCTCTTTTCACTCACATAATCAAATCAGTTACCACATTAATCAAAATTTGAATTTCAAGAGGTTTCTCTCTCCAGTCAACTAATTTCAGATCTGTAGGTACTTTCATCTTCTTCAATTTCTTCTTCGTTTTTTCTTGTTTCATACATTTTGTCTAATACATATGGATGCTCCTTCATGTAGCATTGGGATTACCCAAATAGTTACACCTAATACTAATCGAATCTTTGATTCTGATAATCCCAAATGGACAAAAAAACAGGTCTATAAGGTTGCAGGATCCTTTAACAATGACAAATCAAAGTTCAGAGAAGGCAAAAGCAAAAAATGATGTACATGCATCAACCTGCATCATCGAAAGCAAAGGTTGAAAAACAACAACAAAAAAGAGGTAGAAAGGTTGCCCCTGCCATATCTCAACCTACACTATTCAGGGTATGTATTTTGAACTATGTATTTTAGTATTTATTTATTTTATTTTAAATTTATGTCTTTCCATGTTGAACTATTGGATCCACAACATTCGTTTGAGGTGGAATTTGTTCAAGATATTATGCTACAAGAAAGCGACAATCTGTAACTATTGAATTAATTTTTCTTTACTTACACATTTGATCTGTTTTTATAATGTATCTTCTTCTATTTTGTAGTGACTGCGAAATGTTTTTTTTTTAAAATCATTTTCGGTCCACAGTTGGACCTATTTTATTAACTAAAAAACACAGGAAACTAGTTCCTTACAGTTTAGGCCCAAATGGTCCTTCCCAAAAACAAAACAAGGAATCAAAGGTTTCTTAATCTAGGCATTGTTCAAAGAAGTGTTCCAGACTCTTCTCAAGCTCGCTATCATACGAGAAGCTGAAGCTCTGCTTGGAATTTCCAGCTTCATCCATGGTTGTGGGCGCCATCTTTCCATGGTAAGTTTCTACTCTTTCTTTCCTTAATCCTGATCTCCTCCGATATGACTTGCGTTGACTTCAGGTGGGCTGAGTTCATCCTTGATGAGTTGATCCATCTTCGTAAGTTCACCCTCCCTCTATTTTGCGTTCACTGCGCAATGTTTTTTGTTGAATTTCTGAGCGATGAAATCAACATCCCATCTAATGATTTTCGAAGTGACTATCTTCGCACAAGATATGCAACATTGTTATGAAAGTATGGTCTCAGCAAGGCCAAGACGGGATATGTTAGCGAGAATGATGATCCTACAAGGCCGAAGAGTGACTACACTCCACCAACAGAAGATGATCTTGTTAATGTAGAATAGATTTTTATGTATCGATTCACCGACAATTGTTGATGATCTATTGTTTTTAAGATACATTAATTAGTGTTTTTGAGTATTTCTTCCCTTTTGAAGACACTACTTCTAAATGTGAAGAGTTTTTATGTTGAAAATTGTTTATTTCGCTTTTCAATATATTTAATACCTTGTTAAATTTTGTTTCTTATAAACATAGTACACATCACTATAGTTGATACTATATTATTAGCAGATACAAGATTTTCCAAAAAATTATTATGTATATGATACACGATTACTTTCGATATAACAAATTTGTATGTATCACAACACCTGATACTATATTTTTATACTTGATACTAATTAGTTAATTTTCAATATATTTAGTACCTTTTAACATTATGTCTCTTATAAATTTGGTACAAATGACTACACTTGATACTATATTATAAACTGATACAAATTTGCCAAAAAATATATTATGGTGTATAATCATACACGTAGCCAAAATTTGATGATAAATCCTTTACCTAGTGTAAGCAAGGCCTATGCCATGATAATTTCTGATGAAAGTCAGCGTATGACAGTTGGATCTAGAATAAGTAAGGATGTTCATGATGTATGCTGGATGAGGTAATCAATTCATGGGAAAACCACTTGATTCTATGATGTATCCTAGAAATGGAAAAGGTTCTTACAGTTCTATGGGGGATAATTCTCAGGTGACTGATTCAATGATGTACCTTGGTAATGGAAGAGGTACTTACCATGATCCAATGACATTTTACACCAAACGAGGTTGTCACGACCCGGGAGCACCCCCAAGTCGTAACAAGGCGTACTCGACCCCGAAGGGGTCTTATACGAGCCACATAGTCATTCATTGCATTCAATAATGAAAATAGTGCGGAATAAAAAAAAAAACTTATTTACATCCACACATTTAAACTTCTTAAAACAACTTTAAAAACACACAGCGAAAGTCTAAGTCTCACATGGCCATCTTAGACACAAACAAAAACATAAGTAGGGACACGGCCCTTTACAATCAAAAGAAGTCTATTACATGAACAAAAGAACTTAAAAGTCTTGTCCTCGAATCCATGAGGACATACCAAGTCTTGGAGGAAAACAATCCAACACTTCAAACTAGCTAGGAGGGATCACTTGCCGGAACCTACACTTGTAGTAAAAACATGAAGAATATGGGTTAGTACACAAAATGTACTAAGTATGATGACCATGCAAAACATGCTTTAAAAGGGACATTTTAGTTAGAAACCATGCATTATGCCACCTTTTTGAAATATCATGAACAATAGCATAAAAGACATACAAGACAAGCATAACATCAAGTAAGTCATAATATCACCTTTAAACAATATCAACATGAAAACCTTTACCTTGGACCTTCACCTCAAGAAACCCTTATGCTATACCTCGTGCAATGTATGGATGGCGTCCCATACCACCATCCATACTAAGGCACCACATTGAGGTCACTTAAGGTAACTTATCATTCCTTTCTTTCACCTTTGCACAATATTCATACATAAGAGGTATATCATTAATTAAGACATGACAAGGGAAAATAACTCGTAATATAACCCAAGTATAACATGCATAACATATTAAGCATTTAAGAGCCAACATTCTTTAATAACCTCATTTAGGGCACATTTATGTCACATACATTAGGATTTAGAGAAACTCACTATGACCCTCTCCAAGCCTACTCGTGCAATGTATAGGTAGCATCCCATACTACTACCTACACTTTGTAGAACCTGTCAAGAAACCATAATGAAATCTCACATGATGGGAAGTAAGCGTTTAACCGACATAGACCATGAGAGCTTGTCATGGAATCCGGTGTCATGAGTCCCCACACCGAAAAGAGGTGGTCTACTTGCCTAAGGAAGACCGGTATATATAGCTTAATGGATCCACTAGCTTCCTATGCGGGCACATAGTTTATGGGATAAGGTAGACGATCATTGAAACTCATGCCTAACTGTCGGGGGAGTTTCCATCTAACCAAATCCGCTCGGTGCTTAGCCTACATTCCCATAGAATAGTTCATTACTTTGACATCATCACACATGAAAGGGTGCCATAAGCCTACCGATTCAAGGTACATTTAGGAAAGCTCATTAACTCCTCTTGAAAGGGTGCCATGGGCCTGCCGATTCAAGTCTCATCATTAACCTTTATGGAAAGGTGCCATAGGCCTACCGAATCCAAGGTTCATTACTTATCATTAATGGAAGGGTGCCATTAGCCTACCGATCCAAGGTTCATTATAAGCATGTGTGGAAGGGTGCCATAAGCCTACCGATCCAAGGATTCAACAATCAACAATATAATCATTTATACAAGAAAATGATGCATAAGCCCTACCAATTCAAGGTATACTTTATATTGAAGAATCCTTCATATTATATCATCAACATTCATGAGTGTCATCAACACATCTCTGGATTTCCATACATCTCATAACTCAAACTTTAAAGCATCGATTCATCAATTCTCCATAGTTGGACATTTTGTCAAACACCTTGAAGGCATGTAATGGAATCAAAGAGCATGGAAAATAGGGTAGTAATTATGCAACCAAACCAGTGAACAACCTACAACAACACCTTTACATTCATAACATGATCACATTATCTTCATTGAACTCTCATTCATACAATGTCATGATAACACTTCAATTTCTCATACTTTGCCTTTAAGGCCATAAGCCTCTCATACCAATACACCAACAATACACCATAAACTAAGCATGAGTAATGACATACTTCAACAATCTAAAGACATTTAAACAAGTTCGATTCATATACATTCATTATCAAGCAACCCACTTTATAAAGGCATAAACTAGGAATAGAGAGAAATCATGGGTTCATGGAGTATTTTCGTCATAAATCATCATTTAAACACTAATACAATCATAATAAGTCATTAATAACCATTTGAAAACGTTTGAAGAAGGAACCCATGAGTTAGAGTGAAAACCTAGATTTTGAAGAACTTGAAACCTTTGAAAACTAACTTGAATGGACTCTAGGGTGAAAGCTAACCCTAGATGAAGGATCACCATACCTTTGCTATGATCTTGCAAGAAATTGATGAAGAAAGACTTGAATCCAAAGCCCTAGCTTCCACTTCTTCTTCTTCTTGAGTTGGAGAGAATATTTGAGAAGTGAGGGAAATGTTTTTAGGGATGGGAATGAACTAATGATATATAGGAAATAATATATGTCATTTGGAAGAAATGGTCCAACACTTAGAAAAAATATGAAGTCGGATTTTCGAAAAACGAAACGGATCTTTTTATATACAGCTAAACAAGTTTCCGGTAACTTCCGAAGCACATTTTTAAGAACTTTTGGGTCAAATTCAAATATAATCATTTCATTAAGTTCTCGACTCCAAACTCACATGTGAGGCTCTAGTTTCACTCTATCATTTTCCGAGTCGTTACAGAGGTGGATACTCAAGTGGTGGAAATAACAACTACAATAACTATAAGCCAAAGAAGAACTGACATTTGATTTGTGACTATTGTAAGATGCAAGGCCATACCAAGGACATATGTTATAAGCTAATTGGTTATCCAGCTGATTGGAAATTTAAGAAGAATGGTGGACCAGGTGCAGGAATGATGAATGCATGAAGTATATATGGAATTGCCTAAGGGCAGGATATGTTCAGAGTCACTTGGACTATTCCTTGTTTACCAAAAGGAGCACCAATGGTTTGGTCATTGTGTTAGTGTATGTGGATGACCTGCTCATCACAGGTAATGATCTTAAGATAAGCTCAGGACACTAATGAAGTGTTGCATAGTCACTTTAAGATCAAAGACTTGGGGAAATTGAGATACTTTCTAGGCATAAAATTCTGTAGATCCAGCAGTGATATAGTAGTATAGTGATGAATCAGAGGAAATATTCCTTAGAGCTAATATCTGAAGCAGGGCTTGCAGGAGCTCAGCCTGCTACTACTCATTTAGAAGACAATATGAAGCTCACTTATGCAGAGTTTGATACTAGTGCAAATGATGTGTTGTTTAATGATATTAACAAATATCAGAGAATGGTGGGAAAACTTCTCTATTTGACCAACACAAGGCTTGATATTGCATTTGATGTTCAAACCTTGAGTTAATATATGCAACAACCTAAACTCTCACATTGGAATGCAACACTTAGAATAATCAAATATATCAAAGGAAGTCCAAGTTTGGGATTACTTATGAGCTCCAACAAGAGTCCTACTTTAACTGGTTATTGTGATGCTGATTGGGCTGCATGCCTGAGCACCATGAAATCAGTCACTGGTTACTTATTAAAGTTTGGTAATTCATTGATTTCTTGGAAATCTAAGAAGCAAAATGCAGTATCCAGAAGTTTAGTTGAGGCAGAATATAGAAGTTTGGCAACATTGACAGCTGAGGTAGTTTGGGTCACAAGTCTGTTTAAAAAACTTGGGGTGCATTTGACCAATTCTACCATCATTCACTTTGATAGTAAGGCTGCAATATAGATAGCTGCAAATTCTGTTTTCCACGAAAGGACCAAACACATCGAGATCGACTGCCACTTCATTAGGGAGAAGGTTCGACAAGGCTTGATCAAAACTAGCTACATCAACACTAAAGACCAACAGGCAGATCTGCTAACAACATGACTTTCTATTAGCCAAGCTTGGAGTCTTGAATGTTTTTAGTACATCCAACTTGAGGGGGAGTATTGAAGATAGTGCTTAGTCAGCTAATTATGTAATTAGTCATTAATTAGATTCCATTTGTTAGTTGGTTAGTTAGTTAACTCAAGTCAAGTTAGTTAGTTAACTAGAGTCAAGTTAGTTAACTAGAGCAGTTACAACATAGTTAAAGTGTATATAACTGAGATATTTTCCTCTTCTGTAATTGAGTTTTCATTGAATGAAATAAAAAAATTTCCAAATGCTTTCTTCTCCCTAAATTTCAATAAAAAGGTAGGGCTGAACTTTCTACATGTTAGAATTAGAATATTTGTTCACTTTTTTCAGCCTTTTAAAATTTATTTATCCCTTCACCAATGATTATTTATATTAGAATTTAATATCT